ATATATATATATATAATTAATAATCTTCTAATAAAATTCCTCAAATATTTCCTGAAGCCAACGTATTTCAGTGATAGCAAAAGTAATAAAGGAAATCGATTAATGATATCTCGTTTCAGCAAACTTCTGGCTCTAAATCTGTTGCTTTACTTATTACGGCTGTATTTTACATAGTATGGCAGAATCTAACATGGCGTACACAAATGATATCCTGGAACAGTTTAATTTGAGCTTTAGAAAATTAGCTACAACTGTCAAGTCAATTTTCGTAGTTGATTTCCCTCTTATTGTTTGCATCTTAGCAGTCGTGAGACACTAACTAAAGCGTGCGACGTTTTTAAAAACTTTCATATCACTAGAGCGGTAAGATTATCTCTCTCTCTCTCTTTTTCTTAAATGTTGCCAAAGTTCTGGTTTAACTTTTTTTTCTTTGTTTAAAATAATTTTTATTTTCTTAATAAGTAAAACTAATTTCTCTTTCTTTTCTCTCTCTCTCTCTCTCTCTTTCTCTTTTTCTTTCCCTTTCTTTCTCTCTTCTTTTCTCTCTATATTACATTTTTCCTCCGTCTCTATTTGTTTCTCTTTCTTCTTCTCCCTCCCTCTTTCTCCTTCTCTTTCTCACATATATGGGGTCTTATCGCACTGCTAGCACGAAAACTCATAAGACAGATTATCATACACTTTGATTACACGCATTCAGTGACATATTGCTAAGACGCGAATGGAAGCGAGGGATCAATAAATATCAACTATGGAAATTGATCAAACAGCTGCAACTAATTAGCTCTGCTTTAATTTATATTTATTTTTTTAATCGACAACAGGTATCGTGTCGCACTATAGTATCACACAAGTAGCAAAGACATCGACGATAATTCGTTCTAAAAAAAGAGATCTTTTATAAAAATCGCTTAAAATCATCACAATATATTAACAACATATATCAAGATGAAAATCATAATATATGTATATATATATAGGAGAAAGTAGGGTAAAACCAGGTATTTTGACTTTTTCAAAAAATTCTGTTATCTTTGGTAATCAAATATTTTTTTTCATCAACTAGCCTCATTTTCTCATAGTTCAAAGTCCATTAAAGACTACTACCGGTCAGTAGAATCTTTTTTGCCCTCTGATTTTTTATAAAAAGACAAATCCAAAAAAGTACCCGGTTTTACCCTATTTTCCCCTATATAAGATGAAATTCTTAAACAGAAAATACTATTAAATCAGAAATATGTAAAAGTATGCGTCAGTATACTTGGTGAATTAAAATTTTGTTTGCAAAGTAATGTTTCAACTTGCGATGATGACGTGTTATAATCAGATTAGAATAAATTATATTTTAAAGTAATGTTTTTTTAAATCAAGAAGTTCCAACGTTTAACATCGTTTGATTTACATACTTGCATCTCCTGTGACACCGCTTTGCGACTCGATATTTCATATACTATACAAATATTATCACGATATCATGACAATGCATATACTATGACAAATAACACCTCAACATTATTAATTATTCTTTTCTTTATCATTGTTTCGGGTAAGCTACAGTGACTTGCATTAATATTCGGACACTATGGTACTTGAAAAATTATTACTCTGCATACTTATTTAATTTTAAATTAAGGAATTTATTACGTTTTAATTAAAAACATATATAAATGATTATTTAATAAAAATTATTTTCAACATATCTAAACGTTTATATCATGTTATTAAACGAAAAAGAGTATCCTATAAAATATTGAATTTATTGTTAATTTTTTGATCTATTTATGTTTCTTGTAAAAAAATATTATATTTTGTTAAGTGTCCGACAATTTTTGGGATGCAAGAATTAAGCATTATTTTGTTGAAAATAATTATATAAAATTATAAAATTATTTTATAAAAAACTACATTAATTAAATTAATAAAGTTCATATTTTTGACAACTACACACATTAAGAGTGCTTTAACTAATTAAAACACAATAAATTCCTTAATTTAACATTAAATAAGTATACATAATAATTATTTTTTAAGTATCATGGTGTTTGAATATTAATACTATAAAGTCACTATATGTTCTATATTATCAATATCTTGTATTTTTTCCTAATTGATTATCGCGTCTGTGCGCTCAGAGAGAGAGAGAGAAAGAGAGAGAGAGAGAGAGGGAGGAGAGGAGAAGAGAAAGAGAGAGAGGAGGGGGGAGAGAAAGAGAGAGAGAGAGAGAGTTGCGCTTTTTACAATTTTTTATCTTTTTTACCGTGTTTTTGTTCTGTGTCCAAAAGTTAAAATATAAATCCATTTAGTTTTAAATTTTTGCACGAAAAATGCATTTTAATTGAATAGATTATTATATAATATAAATGCAGATTTGTTGAAAAGTCATTCGATAAATATTGCAAAGATAATGTCGCATTTATAACTTTGTAAGAATGATGCTTGATATTAATGATTAAAAACGCTCTTTGTATTCAAAAGACTTGTTTCAATTTTATTTTATGCGCGCGCATATTATTTTATGCAGAAAATATATTTTGAAAAATAAACAATATATATTTCTCTTGTACTAAGCGCAACATCAATTTTATATATACATACATATAAAAGAAGAAACAAAATAGAATAAACAGATCATACAAAATTGAATCAGTTATTATGAAAAGGACATGAGTCATCACTATCAAAATCGAATTAGCAATGTCACGTAATTTTTTAGTTTTCAATATGTATTGTGTAGAACATTAATTGAAGTACTAATTACAAAGATGTTGACTTCCTTTTATAAACAGTTATTATCAAAAAAACATGATTCCATGACTCATTAAAGTTAAGAAAAAGTTACCACGCAGTCTTACTTTTTGTGATTAATAATTACTTATTTATACTCCTGTATATATGTATATATATACATATCAAATAATATATATTAAAATAATAATATAATACAATTGTTAAGAGTGTGTGTGTGTGTTGTGCGCGCGCGCGTGTGTAAACGTGAGAGGGGAAAAAAACAATGTTTTCTGATTTTTTAAAAAGATGAATTTTTTTAAACATCTTTTTTAAAAAGATATTTAGTTAACTTATACCGTTCTCGTAACAATTTAGCTGTTTTGTTTTTTAATTTTTGTTGAGAAGTATATTAAAATTATGGTGGTATTAAATCTTGATACTTGTGATCGTATTGTATCCGTTTAAATTTTTTTCAGAAATTTTATTTTGATATCAATTCTTGATGTAAAGGTTGCCATATTTACCATATACGATCGTGCCCGTGTGGCCACAGCTACTTATCTATCATTAATAATCATTGGTTATAATCAATTGTTATAAATATATATATATATATTATGTAAACTTTAATGTAAATTTTAAGATAAATCGCGCGCCTGAGCTTATATGACATGATAATAGCGTACCCTACAAGATTGTACGTCGCCTGTCCTCGACGTCATAGCTCCCTCTTACTGTCTGCCTGAGGAATAAATCACTTTTGCGTCCCAATGGGAACGTGTCGTGGTAGCTAATAAAATTCCCACCGCGCGAAAAGAATGATGCGACATTGAAGTTGTCAGACGCGCGATATACGACACTTCGACGTTCCTGCCCATTTTTGCTTGCGAATTAAAACAACATTGAGGCTATTTTTCATGGAAATGAAAAACACATCGATATATTTATAATAAACCAAAGTCTAAATGGTATTAATTGCAAAGTACTCAATGAGACGATAGAATGCGTACTATTTAATAGTTTATCATATCGAATAAAAAGTTATAAAAAAAAGGAAATAAAAGAAAGATATCGTGTAAATTCATATAAAAATTTTAAAGCTATCCATTTATATTTGCAACGTTTATATTTTACAGCATCTTGTAAAAAATTATGAAGGATTGGCAGAAAACTAACTAATAGAGATATGGTCATATCAAAATTTTGAAAAATTGTCTTAAAATTAGAATAAATAAAACTAGTGGCGAAAAAGGAATGAATATTATTTTAATCACAAATGAATAATTAGAAAATGTGTTGCCTGTTATCAACTTCTCTATATTTTAGTTTTTAATATATATTGCAAATTATACTTATTATTATTAATAATTCTTGATGTCGTTTTACGGTCATGTCATTTTTATATTCGGTATTTGGAGCTGTTGGATAGACACATCATTAGCTGAGATCAGCCAGAATATAATGACTATGATCTAACAATAAGTGGCAGTGTATCACGCAAGCGTAGTATGTTAACGAGAGAAACGGCAGTGTTGCACGTTATAGTAGAGTCTTCCTAAATTTTATCCCTTTAATTTTGATACTCCTCCACATTCTATGAACGCTAATGTCGCGTCCCTTTTATATTATAATAGGCAAATCACATGACGGCATGCTCAGTGCAAGTCGATTGAGTAGTTCGCACTGTAAAGAGGGTGTACCTATTAATTTTTTTTTTTTTTTTCCCAAGAATATTCCGCTTCTATTCCCCAGAGGGTCCCCACGAGACTATACTATATTTAGTATTCTTATGCATACAGTAACGTGCATAGGAGTATATACTGTACGAATATAATAACGACGTACAGTAATATAAGGCCCAAAAGCGCGTTCGCGCGCGCACGCGCGCGCGTGAGAGTCACACTGAACTAATGTTATGTAAAATAAAACTGAATAGAAGCTTATTATTTTGATGTGACCATTCTGGCATATATTAAAAATGCAACAAATATATGAATTATATCGTGAAAAGAATATTTTGTCAGTTGGCTCGTTTACAGACTCTACGTGATAGAATGCTTCGTATAATGGTGAACTCTTTTACAGTATGTGTGTTATATGTCAAGTACATATAAAATATACTTAAAAAATTATCGAACTTTGAAAATTATATACAAACACGACTGTGCATATTGATTTGGACAGATGACATGACTTAGTGACATTTTATTGATATGCAACCACGTTTGTGCGCGACACTTTTTTAATTCGGGAATTTTTTCAGACAGTCTTCATAATTCATTAAACGATAATTGCAAGGGCTTTGGGGTATCTCAAAGGTACGTCTCAAGTCAGTGTTAATTTTCATATGTAAGTGCATATGTATATATACATACACACACACAAATGCTTTCACATGCACACATCTACTGTCATACATTCCAGTTTCATTTATGTGCGATTTTCTTTTTGCTCACTCGGGGATATCAGAACACCGAATGACGGTTTATGTTGCTTTCTTGAATACATATAGTTGGTTCTATGTGGAAAAAAGTATAGATAGCAATAACAATGAGAGGGTAGCGAGGACGGACTGACCAGCCTGAATTGAGATCGAACCGGAACTAAACCAGCTAGAGCCAGAAGAACCGACGCGTGCGTTTTCATGACGGCTGGATGGCTGCTCAGAGGCCATTAAATCTTCCCGCGAAACCTCCGGGCATGGTAGCTCCTCCGGCTTTAATTCGAACAAATGCTTTTTACAGCACTTCTTGTTGTTGATCTGCAAACCAAAATCAGAATCATTAATTAAAAAATTGAAAAATTTTTCTTACAAAAGTGATGAAATATTAAAAAGTGAGCCGATGGAGAATAAAATTTATATATACTACATAATATTCAAAAATTTTTAACTGTCGCTTGTTGGTTATTAAAAAGTTGTTAATAAAGATTTGTGAAAATCAAGGTACAAACGTAAAAAAATTGATAATGGAAAATTTAATATTGGATACAGTTTATATAGATATTCCTACTTTCTGTACTGCACACAAATTGCCAAACATGCAGGTCTTTATACAGGGTATTCAAAAATTGAAAAGCGAATATATAAATGAGGAAAGAAGCTTCGTGTGGGCTTGCAACATTTCGCGCAAAGCGAAGTTCACTCCACATCACCCAGTGCTTCCGAAAATAAACCCATGTGTGAGCATGAATTCTACATTAGCTGCATATTTACATATTTAAGTGAATACGTAGGTTCTGTCCTTCCTCTTCCATCCCATCCCGAAAAAATTCTGAACTAACCCAAATCTATTTTTCTGATTTGAAATTAAAATTGTGTGCGCGTGTATGTGTGTATGTATAGAGAGAAAAAAGGATAGATAGATAGAGATAGATAAATAGATAGATAAATAGATAGATAGATAGATAGATAGATAGAGAAAGAGAGAGAGGGGAGAAGGGAAGAGAATAGAAAACTTAATATTAAACACATATATATAAATTACATTTATATAAATTATACAAGCATCTTTCTCTCTCTCATAGATTTATTTTTTGCTGATAATTAAGTACATGTACAGATGATTCATGAGCCTAAAATAACGGATTATGCATAGCTAAAAATTGTACTGACATAAGTACGAGTAAAGCTGAGGATAAGTATAGAGAATTTAGCGCTAGGAACTACAGTAAATTTAATGTAGATAAATTTATTAGATTAGTGGAAGATAAAATAAAGCAAGGTCAAGGTTTGAAAGTCAGGGGGGGAGCGAAAAAATCTGTTAACAATATAATAGAATGCGCTGGACTTTACAGCACCTACAAAAAAATTAAAAATTCCCAAAGTATGAAAAGGAGAAAAGTGATTTCCAGATGATATAAAAAAAGCAGTGGCTAGAAGGGTGCGTCACACATATAATTTGCATTGGTAATATTATAATGTATGTAAATTTCAAAATATGTACACTCTCATCATTTCGAACTACGAACTTGAGCATATTCTTGACATAACGCAATAAATTGTTAAAATCAAAATATTTTTTTATTTTTATGCAATCCCAGTTAACATCTTTATTACAAAGAAATTTAAAAAATTGGGTATACATTAGCCGTCATGTGCAATACAAATTGGCATGTATCTTACCTTGTCATATAAATTCGAATTTGAAGAGGAATTTTTGTCGTCATCCTCGTCATTATAACTGCTGTCATCGGCCTCACTGTACTCGTTATCATCATCTCTCGAATTACCAGAAAAATATTCCTCTGCAACAATGAAATTATATTCTAAAGAATAAGTTACATATAATGTATGAAGAAAACATCTCCAATTCCCTCTCTTTCTCTCTTTTTTACTACCCCTTTTCTCTTTGTTGTGATTAAATTGATTTGATCTTGCGTGGGACATTTATAAACATTATGAAATTTGTCATATCCTTACTTATAACACCGACGAGGTACTGTTAAAGACAACCAGCCGTGGGCAAATTTTTTAATAAGTAATGAGCGATTAAAACCTTTTAAAGATTGTGAGTCACATAACAAAATTTGTAAAAATCAAAATAATTGAAAAAGTGTATATTAATAAATGTTTACTCCCACAAGGATAATTTATTTTTTAATTTTTGTCAATGCATATGTATAGAATTAAATTTTTAGATTTAGCAAATGTACTTAATAAAGGATATTCTTGTCCACACACATACTAGATCGTGTAAATTTTACAATTCACATTTTCGACACAAAACTGCGATGAATTCCGCTAAAAGATATTAATATACATGTGCATAAAGCGAAACTTACTAGCAATTTCAGACGGTTGATTTTTTCCCAGACCTTCGTTGTTGAACTTTTGTGTTGCATTATTGCTCTCAAGAAAGCAAGTCAGCTCCTCTAGGGCATCTCTTAGTTTTGTGTTCTTTGTTTCATTTCGCAAACCCCAGATCCATGCAAGCTTGCAGTCGCAGATCAGATCGTTTTCTGTAAACAAATACAAGAATGTGATTGTAGCAGCCTTATGAAAAGAACCACGCCAAAGACCAAGACTCAAATCAGCCTTGCTAGAAATTATCCAACTGAAGCAAGGACTAACAGATAAAAAAAATTCTTTTTTTTTTTGTCGTTGACAGTATTGAGCGAAGAGATTAATTTTTGTTTAAATATAGATAAGCATTTTCAATTGACTTACATATGAGTGTACATCGAAGAGTTTGAATAAAATATTGTGTTTTTATTAGTTTTGTCTACGTAATGTGACGCTAAACCGAAGTCTATTACAATCAATTTCGTTATTTTGATTATTTTAACATAGTTGCTTTGGTGCGAATTATTTTAATGTGTTATTTGAAAATTCTACTTGGCATAATGATATTTTTTTATCATTTTGAACTCAAATATTCTTGCAAAATATGTATAATCATGATTTATTTTCTACCTATAAACGTTCTTTAGTGGATAATAACTTGATAGTTTTCTAAATGAGTTAAATCGGGCACGAACTTATGCAATCACCTGATATATATACACGCTGACACTTCATTGTTCTCAATAGACCAAGTTTCTAGTCGATCGATCAACTAAAAATATGGCTGTTGCTATCGTATTAGAATAACTAATATTACATTTTATTGATAGGAACCAAGTTTAAGCTCTATTCTACTTTCAAAATGACGACGGGTCATATAACCAACTTGAGACAAACTACATCAAAAGTGCCGACTGTTCAATATCACTACTGTGTATACTTATACTATGATTTTACTAATAATATAAGAATAACGATTAAAATACTCACCGCTCAGATAGAAGTGACTATTGGTGTCGTAAAGATTGGTTACGATAGGCTTAATATTATCGAAGGTCATGGTCTTCAAATAATTTCGCCTTAAATCTAAAAAGTAAACACCTGGTGCACCAGCCAGAAAATCTTGCGGCAATTTCACTAGCAGATTCTCGCTGAGCCGCAGCTTCTGAAGATTGTGCATACCGTCGAATGCTCTTTCAGATATATATGTAATTATGTTTTGATCAAGTTCAAGCTCGATTAGTGCCGACATCTCAGCAAAGTTGCGCTTTCCAATCATGGCGATTTGATTGTTGTGCAGGTCAAGACGTTGTAGATTGCGCAGACCGTAGAAAGTTTCGTGTGTGATACTCGTGATTTGATTACTGCTTAGCTCAAGCTCTTGCAGTAAGCTCAAATGCTTAAATGCCCTGTCGCGCACGGTGCTGATATTGTTCTGGTTTAGATGCAGCTTGCGTAGGCTCGGTAAATTGACAAACGTGTCTCTGTAAACAATCATTCAAAATCGTTGGATGTGTGTGTGACTATATATATATATATATATATGTATGCACGTATATATATATATATATTTTTTAATTTATTGTCATCATCGTAACGGAGTAATAATGATTCTACGGCAGCTGTTTGAAATATAATTGAAAAAAGATCTAATTGATAAGATTTTATAAAATTCTAATAATATTCGCTGTTAATAATTTTGCTGATAATTATTAACTGTAAATTATCCATACCTATTAATCTCGGAGATGTGATTTTCATCGAGATTGATGACGATAAGATCTCGCATATTCTCGAAAGCGTTTTTGTGTAGCGTGAAGATCATGTTGCGGTTGAGATTGATCTTGACAATACCGATAAGATTACTAAAAGTATGTTCGACGATCTCATGAAAGTTTGCATACTGGAATGTAACGGTGTGTAAATTCTTCAATTGATACAGTAGTTGACTGGGCACATAATCGAGGCTATCGATCTGGCGCACCGTAAACGTCAATTCTTTTAGATGAATCTGCGACGTAAAGTAACTCCACATGGGATTGTCACGCTCGAGCTTGCTCATCACCCAGCAATTGGCATTCGTAGCATTTTGCAGACCGTTAATGTTGCAATAGCAGTATATCGGTGCCTGCTGAATCTGAATGTCACAGATATTTATCTCTTTTGACTCTTTCGTCTCCTTCGCAACAACCTTTTTTTTGCCGCGTAACTGCCTCGTCACTGCCAGACTTGACGATACAAACAAGATTGTCAATAGCTGAAGAATGAGGAAAGTATAGAGAAATTGGCGCATGATGAATCTGAAACAAAAAATTCAAAATTTTGCTTGTGAATATTGTGCTACAATTGTAATTATTAATAATTAAAAACTTACTTAAAAAAAAAAACACTAAACGAAGGCGCCAAGTACATGACGCGTTTTGTGAAAAACTTATATTATTCTAGAAAACTGTTTTATACGAAATAGTGTTATTTTAATCTGTACAAAACAGTGTTATTTTAGTTTAAAAATGCATTATTATTTAAAATATTTCCAATTAATAAAACATATTCAAATTAATAAGATTTTTAACAATATATGTAAGAACTTAATCACTGTTTAATTAAAAATCACTGTTTCTCCCCATTTTGTAATTTTTCTTCTTTTTTTTCCTTTATATACAGATACGCATTTTTCAAATATAATTTCTTGGAAAATAATGAATAATAGAATTAGTGAAATATTCTATACATATATATACGCGCTTGTACGCGCGTGTACATGTGTATAGTTTGTGTATCTGGAGATAAAAACAAGTGATTTACTTTTATACAATTTTCCTCCGCTACTCTCACTTTCTCACAATTCAATAGTGAGGTTCTTATTTAAGATTATCTTATCTTAATAATGGCGGTATTACAAATAATGACGGCTTCAATGATAATTCACAGTGACGGCAGATGATATTGCATAGCAATCCTTTTGTCGCACAATAATATTTGTTCCCGAACTTTGAGAGCTTGAACGATTTTAGCGTACACGCAGCGTATTTGCGAATTTCGCAAACTTTCCTTTACCGTAACTCTGCTTATTTAATTATTGTCAGAGCAGCAAGCGAAAGTTTCGACGAAAAGCTAGGGATTCACAAGTTTCAGATCAATTTGAGTTTTGTTCAATTTTCCTGATGGTTTCCACCCTTCTCTCTTTCTCTCTCTCTCTCTCTGTTTCTCCCTCTTTTTCTTTTCTTTCTTATTATCTTAGTTATCAAGGTATTCAACACATGAATAACATATTTAGTTGTCAGTTAATCTACTGCAGAACAAAACGTCCGTTTAATGTCATATCTCGCACAAAAACGTTGATCCTGTTTAAATTATTTCATATTGAAATTTGTTTAATTCAGAAAGATACGGACATTTAATCCAATTGTATATATATATATATATATAAATTTTGATTTATATTGTTGCCTTTCGATTGATGTCGATATCTCAAGATTTACTCGTCATTTTTATTCACTAGTTGCACTCATGCTCGTAAATAAAAAGTAACTTATTTTAAAAAGGAACAATAACATATATACAATAATTTTAATAAGTAAACTCAAAACAAAGAACAAAGAATATTAGCGGAATAAACGGAAATGTATCCACAATGTACAATCGCAGTCAAAGATTTTAAAATTTCTGCTCTTCTTCCTGTCCTTTATTCGTGAGCGCAATTAATGAGATATTGAGATTTGTCTTGATCGGAAAACAAAAAAATATTGTATAAATAAATTTTTATAATGCAACATGTATTGAGAATAAAATATGATTGAAGTTAAAAGTTCTTTTCTCCTATGAAAAGAAATGTTTTAAAGTTAAGTACTAAATATTCCAGTCATAAGTATGTCCGTGTCTATATTTTAATCTATGCATATTGTATACATATTTTTTAAGAATAATTTTCTCTTGTTCTAAATTAGAAACGAGTTTGTGTACGATAGTATATATATTAGAACTCGCGTAGTGTTTCGCGATCAAAATAAATCACAAAGCTGGTAAATATCAGGCGAATGTAGCCGTTACATAACCGTGCCGGATGTAACATATGCAGATAACGCGCGGAAGTTTTTAAACAGCGTACTCTTGGGATACTCGTAATATTCCGTGAAAGTGCAAGATAGCCGCTATTTTGTTTCGTACTTTTCTTTCCGATTGCGAGCAAAACTCGTCTTGGAAGGTACCGCATGTTGCATAAAGACAGATGCGAGTCCAGACTTGTTGCAGTGTTGTTTCGGGATGTTTGCATTTAATTTCAACGCTACAGAATTGTTACTATAATACTTTGAAAAGTCAATACTCTTACGCGACGATAGCAGTTGTGTTGAATTACACTGATTCGTCCTTACATTGTGAGCGTTTAATTACTTTACAGTTATAAAGATAAACATTTCTTTGTAACTTAAAAACATTTCTGAAACAATATTATTCTTCATTACATTCTCCTTTTGCTTCCTCATAGAGGAAGCTTTGTTTTCGCGACAAAATTTTTTTCGAGTTTTTTATGCCAATGTGTTCAGAATGTTCTAAAACGTCGAAAAATCATATTTTTTAAAAATGTCTGTTTGTATGTATGTATGTATGTACGCGATTTGTTGTGCAACCGCTAACGTTCGCAATTTTTGAGATATCGGGTTAAATTTTTTTACATGGATAGATTATTATTAAAGGATGGTTGGTATTGAATTTAGTGAGAATCGGTGAAAGGGTTCATTTTTTATAAAATTTTGAATTTTTTAAGAAATGTCTGTACACGTTGTAACTTTCGCACATTTTGAAATATCGGGTTAATTTTTTTTACATAAATAGAGTATCATTAAAGGATGGTTGGTATTGAATTTAATGAGGATCGGTGATTGCTTTTTTATCTTTTTATTTCGCTCACAAAGTTTCTTCTATAAGGAAGCAAAAATTAAAAAATCCACATGCTTAAAGGAGCTTAAACCTTGTGAGATAAAATGATGAGGAAGCAATGTGCAAGTTTCTAATTTGCACAATTCAGCTTGTTTAATTTATATTTATATATCTTCTCTCTTTCTCTCTCTTTCTCTATCTTTTTCTGTCGCCACAATTTCCGATAATTTCAGTCTAAAGTGACACATATACCGGACCACAAATGATAATAGCGCACGAAAGTGGTACTTGCTGCTACAAAAGACGTAACGTCCGCAACGTCACGGCGGAGGTAGAAGCATATGAATATGTACGGTATGTCGGTACGTTTAATATAACTTTACAGTTGGCCGAAGTTTCGACACAACGCGATTGCCACACGTCGTCCTGTGAAAATTATCCACGACACCGCGGTCCATTCGGCGTGCATGCTCCGTTGCTGTATGCTAATTGCGCCTTGATGGAATTTGAGCCACACTCAAGCGAAGAAAGAGAGATGCATAGAGAGAGAGAGGGAGGGAGAGAGAAAGAGAGAGAAATACTCACACGTGCAACACGAGTTGTTTATTCCAAAAGTTAGGCGAGTCGAGAGACGCTACAAATTTAATCTTTCATTTACTAATGTCGCTCTCAACCCTTATCAATTCCTTTGTGCCATAATGTTTTCAACTAGCCAAATCATAAATCTCGTTTTTCTCTTTACGCTTTACTCTTTTTTTATCGGAGATCTTTTTGAAATAAAACCAATCGTGAAATGTCAGGTTTGAAAATAGATGGCGAATAATTTATCCGTTTTTTTTTTTATTTTACTCTTGTAATTAAAAGAAGAAATAAATGAGAAAGAGAGAAAAGAAGAAAAATATGAATATGAATACATGTTGGTATATTTCCTAGAGAGGAAAATATAGATACACAACATTATCGTGAGTTAACAAAGCGCGTTTTTGAATAAATTTTAATTAAGCAACGATTTTATTAATTTACCACTGAAAAAAGCTACTACAGATATTTTAAGCTCGCATAACAGCTACAACGGTAATACGCTAATACGTTGCAAATTAAAATCGCTTGATAAGTTTAATTAAAAGCGTTTGCAAATCCAGATACTGTATTATTCATTAATGAATTCGCGATCGCAGAGAGAGATTCGCGAAGGATGGCACTTTCCCTCCATCTCCCTCTTGCTCCCTCCAATCAACGTCGAAGCATAATGTAATTGAAAAATTCTCGCGGCGTAGTGATGCGTTATGGGAATTATCCCGTATTTTTGAAGCGCGCATAAGCACAATTTCGTTATGCTAATCATATTTCGACTACGATCCGTTAGATTAATTAGATTAAAAGATCTATTTTAACGGTTTGTATAAAATTTTTTAAATAAAAATATCCATTATAATTCTAATGTAAAAATTCGAACGTAAAATTAGGACATCGTATATATTATCTTCTATTATTTCTTCTCGATGCAATATCGAGAACTCACTTATGAGGATGAGAAGACCCAAGACGATCGAAGTGCGCGCGTATTGTACTTTTATGCTAATGAATGGTGGCACGATTTGGCCTTTATTACAGGCCATACATCCGTACTATGCAAAAGAAGGACGCAATATGTTTTTGGAATGCTCGAATGCAAATAAAGTAAGAAAAAGAGTATGATAAAGGGAGAGGGATCGGGGAACTATTCTCTCACGTGACTACGATCTAAGGAGAAAACCACTGTATAACTACGACGAAAGCTTCTTGAGATTATGCCTAGACATGATCCAGCATAGATCGTAGACTGGGGAGGAGGAGGGTCTAGCTAGCGTATGCAAATTTCCCTGGCAAACTGCTTGGCATTTGCATAAGCTTACAGATAACGACGCGTTAGAAGTAGAAGCCTTTCCTTCAGATTCGTTTCTGCGGCTTTTCTGACTGAAGAAAAAAGCGTAGTATATCGATCTTTCGGCTGAGAATAATTTGATGGATACCGTACTTGGAACTTTTTAATGTTTAAAAAATTGATAAAAATAACGATATCGGTGCAAGAATTAAGTTCGTATTCTACGACGACAACAATGGCCTCGCACCTCATCGACTTCTTTTCAAGCTTCATGTTTTTTACAACATATCGTAAAAGAAAGTAGAGACCGGTAGCGCCTGAGGAAAAAATCGAAAACGCCCTTATCGATAATGGTATGGTGTCGAGAGCGTCCGTAAAGGCAGTTCGTTTATCGAGAAGGTATGGAAGACACCTGAACTAGATGTATAGTTTGATGTACCAAGGCATATGACGAGCTTTTCCTCGATCGAGCAAGCGAATATGGGCAAGAGCTCGATCAGCTATGGCGTCGAAATTCAAATACCAAGGTAATTGATAGCGATTTTTTAAAACAACAGT